AAATTCATTTCCTTAAAAAGAAACAGTTCCTCTATAGAATTCAAAACCTACTGAGCACCTACTATGTATAAGACACTGTAGAATATGCAAAGATGAATAATATATAATCTTCGCCCTCAAAGAGTTTTTAATTTAGTGTAAGGGACAAATATGCATGTGAATAATGACAATAAAGTGTACAGTGTGGCAATTTAATTTCATGAAAATCCATTGGGAGCTCATCATAAATCAGCCCTTGCTGTAACAAGGACAAAATATTATGAAGGAGAAAAGAGATTAATTCTGACTGGGAATATTGGGAAAGGGTTTTTGGAGGAAGCAGCATTTAATTCAAGGTGACACAACCACAACCAGTAAGTGATGAACTGGAATTTAGTTCCATGCATTCAGCCCAGAATCCACTCCCATAAATGCTCCCAGTTTCTGGAGCTTGGGGTAAGGTAGTACCACAAAGTGAGGAAGTACAAGTGGTCTACTGTGGCTAGACCAGGGGTTCCCAACCCTGGCTGCACATTAGGACTTTTGGGGAAGCATTATTTTTTATTTATTTAGAGACAGGCTGGAGTGAATTGGCCTGATCACAGCTCATTGTAACCTCGAGCTCCTGGGCTCAAGTGATCATCTCATCTCAGTCTCCCGAGTAGCTGGGACTACAGGCATATACCACTACACCTGGCAAATTTTCCATTTTTTTTTTTTTGTAGAGATGGGATCTCACTATATTGCCCAGGCTGTTCTTGAAATCCTGGCCTAAAAAGATTCTCCCAAAACACTGGGATTATAGGTGTGAACCACCACACCCGGCATGGGGAAGCTTTTAAAAATACTGATGTTCACGCCTCAGCCTGATATTGCTTTCCAGGTATTCTTAATGCACAGCCAGGGTTGAGACCCACTGGGCTAGACTCTGGGGTTTATTAAGGGCAGGCAGGGCTGGAAAGGTAGGCTGGACCTAATGTGGGAGGTAGAAATGCCATGCTACATTATGTGTTTCAACTGTATTCTACCGGTAAAGAAGCCACTGGGGAGGGAAATGATAGGATCATAAGTATTCAGTAATTAGCCTGATTTAATCATTTCACTGTGTATACATACAGCAAAACATCAATTTGTATACTGTAAATATATATAATTTTTATTTGTCAATTATATCTTAATAAAGCTGGGGTTGGGGAGATGTATTTAGGATGATTATTCCAGTAGCAGCATGAAGGATGGGTTTGTGAAGCAGATGTTGAAGGCAAAAATAGAAGTTAGGAGGGTGATACCTGCCAATGAGAAGTGAGGAAGAACTCACCTGGGGCGGTAGAAATGTACAGGAAGGATTATATGTGAGAGACACTGCAGAAATAAGCTACACAGAACCCGTGGTCAGAAGGAAGAGGTGACAAAGAGGGAGGAGTGGAAGACGACTGATGCTGTGAGCATGACAGGGAACACTGGGAAGAAGCAGACTGGGGAATGGGGAGAGGACTGTGAGTTTGTGTTCTGTCTTAACTGAGTCCAAGGTTCCTGAAGAACAATCATGTGAAGGTGCTAAGTGGGCAGTTGGAAGTTTGAGTCTGTATCTAAGGAGAGAGACTAAAGTTAGCTGGCTATCATTTTTTTTTTTTTTGAGACAGAGTCTCACTCTGTTGCCCGGGCTAGAGTGCCGTGGCATCAGCCTAGCTCACAGCTACCTCAAACTCCTGGGCTCAAGTGATCTTCCTGCCTCAGCCTCCCGAGTAGCTGGGACAACAGGCAGGTGCCACCATGCCTGGCTAATTTTTTCTATATATGTTTAGTTGTCCAGCTAATTTCTTTCTATTTTTTCAGTAGAGACGGGGGCGGGAGCGGGGGGCAGGTCTTACTCTTGCTCAGGTTGGTCTCGAACTCCTGAGCTCAAACGATCCTCCCGCCTCGGCCTCACAGAGTGCTAGGATTACAGGTGTGAGCCACGCACCCGGCCAGCTGGCTATCGTTTAAACAGGTAAAGCCTGGGTGTCGTGGCTCACACCTGTAATCTTAGCACTCTGGGAGGCCGAGGCAGGAGAATCGCTTGAGACCAGGAGTTCAAGACCAGCCTGGGCAACACAGCGAGATCCTGTTTCTCAAAAAAAAAACAGAAACAAAAACAAAAAAACCACATTAATCAAGTATGCTGGCATGTTCCTGTAGTCCAGCTAGCTATTCAGGAGGCTAAGGCAGGAGGATTACTTGAACTCAAGAGTTCGAGGCTGCAGTGAGCTATGATCACACCACTGCACTCTAGCCTGGGCGACAGAGCAAGATTCTGTTTCTAAAAAAATTAAACAAGTAAATAATAAAAATAAATAAATAAAAACAGGTGAAACCTGACATTTCAGTATTTTGTTGAAGCCATTAAGAAAGAGAATGTTTGGAACTGCATATATATGAAAAATAAGAGTGCTCAGAAGAACATCTAAATTTACAGGGCAGATAGGGGAAAGATATAAATGCCAGAGACCTGGAAAAAGATGGAACAAGTACGTGAAGGAAGAAACTAAGAGGGCACAAGGAGCAAGTGAGAAGACAGTTCCAAGGGGTTGAGTGAGCAAGAAAGTCAATGAGTAGGCCGAAGAAAGGAAGCTTTGGTCTTTGGTCGGTCACTGGTAGCCTTGAAATTAAATAAAGTGGAGAGAGTAGAAGCCAGACCACAATGGACTGGACAATGAGGGGGAGATGAAGAGGAAACAGCAAGTGTAGAGAATTCTATTATGAAGCCTTGTGGATGAGATATCATCTCACCCCAGTTAAAATGGCTTTGATCAATAAGACAGGTAATAACAAATGCTGGTGAGCATGTGGAGAAAACAGAACCCTTGTACACCGTTGGTGGGAATATAAATTAGTGCAACCACTATGGAAAACAGTGTGGAGGTTCCTCAAAAAAACTAAAAATATAACTACCATATGACCCAGCAACTCCACTGCTGGGTATATATCCAAAGGAGGGGAATTCAGTATATCAGAAAGATACCTGCATTTCCATGTTTATTGCAGCACTATTGACAATAGCCAAGATATGGAATCAACCTAAGTCTCCATCAGTGGATGAATGGATAAAGAAATTGTGGTACATATGCACAATGGAATATTATATAGCTACAAAAAACAATGAAATCCTGCCATTTGCAACAACATGGATAAAACTGGAGAACATATGTTAAGTGACATAAACCAAGCACAGAAAGACAAATCTCGCATGTTCTCACTCACATGTGGGAGCTACATTTTAAAAACAATTTATCTCATGGAGACAGAGAGTAGAATGACAGTTACCAGAGCCTGTGAAGGGTAGTGGGGGGTGGGGATAAAATGGGGATGGTTAATGGGTACACAAATATGGAGAATGAACAATATTTGTAAGCACAACAAAGTGGCTATAATCAACAAGTTAGGGCATACTTTAAAATAACTAAAAGAATGGAATTGGAATGTTCTTAACACAAAGAAATGTTAAATGCCTGAGGTGATGGATACCCTAATTACCCTGATTTGATTAATTTACATTGTATGCCCGTATCAAAACATCACATGTACCCTGTAAAGGCACAACAAATAATTGTATAAAGATATACAACTATTATGTACCCATAATAATTAAAAATTTTAAAAAACCTGAAAAAAAAAGAAGTCCTGTGGAGAAGAGGAGAAATGAATGGTGAATGGGACCAACATAAGAGGTGTCAGGTCAAGGGAAATGAGGTTTGTTTTGCAGGGGAAAGTGAAGCATATTTTAAAACCAAAGAGGAGTTTATGGAGAGGCACAATTTGAAGTCAACAAGATGCAGAGGTAAAGTGATGGAGTCAGTTCCTGGAGGGTACCAAAAGGGACTAATTCAAGAGAACTATGGAAAAGAAAGAAGACCTTCCTCACAGAGGAGAAGGAAGAAAGTCAAGAGGGAGGGAGGCTGGGAAATTCTGCCCAACTGGAGCGAAGCTGTGAGAGGCAGGCCAGACGCTGAGATAACTGGGACCCTGAGTATAGTGGGAAATATCTGGAATTGCATATATGGAGAAGGCAGTAGTCAATGAGGGATGAAAACAAGGAATAAAAAAAAAAAAGAAAAAGGACTGCCTGGAGGGCCCACCAAGGAATATCTTTGAACATGTAAAATCTGTAACATGACATGTTGTGGTATTAAAACTGACTACTGCTGTCTACATTATTTTCCATGTGCATGAATCCTTTGAGTAGTTACAGGAAGAAAGTGTACTGGCTGTTCCAAACAGCTTACACAAATGAACTGAAGCGTGAAGAAGACAAATAAACTGTCTTCTGATGGTAACAAGTTGTAGAGCATCGTTTGGTGTTGAAACTAGGTTATACTGATTATGTTTGATCTGGTCGTTAATTTATTATCATTACATTTGGCTGAGTCATTCCTGGGGCCTAAGTAGAGACAACCAGAGTTACCACGTGAGCGTAAAACATTATGATATCAAAATAATTAGACTGGCCACAAAAACTATCCTGGAAAGACACTGAGTAGCAAAAAAATAAACCTGACAGAGTATTGGCGGGGAAAAGCCCGGAGAGAGTATGTAGCCATACCTGGGGCCCGTCCGTACAGAGCAGCGAGCGTGCTAAGAAAGGCTATCAGCAGGCCCACGCCCGCTAAGCCGGCGGACGCCGGAATCTTGCGGCAGGACGACCCTGGGGCACATCTACGGGCTCCGCCCTTTGTCAGACAAGGGCACGGCCCAGGGTCTGGGAGCATCGTTCTCAGAAAAATTCAAGTTCTTCTTTGATGCAGTCCCAGAAAAGCCTCTCCTGCCCCTCCTGCCCCTCCCTCGTTCCCCAAGGGCAGGCCTGGGCGGAGCTGCAGACTTGGCCGGACACCCGGTCAAGTGACACTCAGGCCGGCCGCACCTCCAGCCCCGGCCGCCCTGCATCGCGTGCGGACTGCGCCTGCGCGCGACTCCCGCGGCGGAGATCGCGACGAGAGGCGGGGTCAGCGCGCACGGCAAGCCCGTCTCCCGGCAACGGGAATAACAGAGGCCAGCCGAGAGCGCCTGCGCGGCGGTCGTTTGAGTGGGGTTGGGTCTGGAGGACTAAGTCCTGGGGTTTCTCTTGAGCAGGAGCGGTCCCCGATAGTCTCAGGTACGCGGAAGGGCGGGGAGACAAGAGGTCAACACCTCGACCTCCCGAGGGCTCGAGGGGCAAGAGAGCGAGTGCTTGTCCCCAAAGGCGGAGTCCCCTGTGGGGGCACCCGGGTTGACCCTTCGGGCCAGAACGTGATTTCCGGGTTCCGGATTTAAAACCGGTCGTGGCCAGGTGAGATGGCTCCCCACCTCTCAGGTTACAGACTTTCCGCCTCTGCGCCACGCCACGGGGACTCCTTGGATGAGGGTTTGATAGCCAGGGACCTGCTCCAGGTCCTGATCCGTCTCTGTGCTCTTTGAAGTCAAGCACAGTTCCAGTGGAAGGGAAGCCCTGTGAGCTCTTTGTGCCAGTCGCTACCTCTGGGCCGCAGTTTTCTTACCTGTAAAATGGTGGGGCTGGACTCGAAGGGAACCCTTCAGTTTACAGAAACTTGGGCCAACAAGGGAAAGTTGCTTGTCCTGTGTCACAGGCCTAAAAACTGACTTTCAATCCAATGCTCTTTCCACCTGCTAAAGAGTATACTATGTATGGCAGAGACCGGTACTGGTGGAAAGCTAGGTGGCAGGAACACCTTTATCACCTTCATTCTTCTATCCTCAGGGCCTAACACAATATCTGGCACATAATAATCACTCACCAAATGCTTACTGAACAAAAGCTCTGGCACACTGAGCACACTGACTATAGAAAGGTTTAAGGGAAATATGGACAGAGCAAATGTAGGAACAGTTTCTTACTTCAGCAGCTGAGGGTGAACCTCAGGCAAACTCTTCATGTGTATCTGGTTTAAATCTCCCCTAGGCTTCAGTCTAGGCCCTGAATGGCTGGCCTCCAGTTGGCACCACATCTGCCTATGGGTGTTACGCTCCCACATGATAAAGCAGAAGAAGCTCCAGGGCTCCGCTCAGCAAAGCAAGACCCTTATGAACAAGGTGACTCTTCCCAGCAGTCATCAGTGGGGCACCTGAGGAACCATTTCCAGCAGAAGCTTTTGAGCCACAAAGAGCCGATGCTGGATAATGTCTACACTCACCCAAAGTGGAACACCTGCACTAAAGCCCGGAGCTACTCCCATCCCCACTGTGCAGGAATCGGCCACCAACATTCAGGAAGTGATCCCCAGGGCCAAGGGAAGGGTTTGTTTTACTCATCAGTCGCTCAATCCCGGTATCCCAAAGCAAATAACCAGGACTTTATCCCGTTTACAAAGAAAAGAGTTGGGGTGGACCGGGCCTACCCACTGAAACCTGTGGTCCACCGGAAGTCTGGCAGTATAGGTGAGGCTGGCACTGATGGGGACCAGAATGTCAACTTAAGACCCCCTGAGCCAAGAGAGTTTTCATACAGCAACTTTGGTTTGAGGAACCGGGCAAATTCATCTGTGGTTGGTACTGTTCTTGCTGCTGTGCAGGGGGAGAGGGCCATGGCAGACTTCGACAGGACCAAGTGGATGCAGATCCAAAGACTAGAAGCTGCAGGGGACAACTTAGAGGAGGAAATCCGAAGAAAGGAGATTCTGCTGAGGGAAAAGCTAAAGAGGACAGAGGAGGAACTCAGAAGGATTCAGAAGGAAAAGGAACAGGCTGAGGAAAATGAAAACAGAGAGCTACAGAGAATGATATTCCTCAGGAGAGTTAAAGGTAATAACAGCAACACCATGTACAAACCTGTCTTCTCCCCAGAATTTGGGTCTAAGGAGGTGCTCAGTAGAGACAGGAGAGAGGATGAAACTTGGAGACGGTCTCAAGAAAATTCTAGCCCTTCCCAGTTCTATGATTACGGAATCCAGAGTCTCAAAAGGGAAAAGCTGGCGGCAAGCAATAACAAAATCCGAGATCAAGTCTCAGAGCCATCAACAGAGAAGTTTTCTCAGCCTTCAGAAGCACCAGGCAGTACTGTGCAGGGATACACCAAAAATTCTAGCCTGTCCAGGGCACCAGACTCCTCAGGGTCCAGCGGCTCCGTGGAAGAGCCTCAACTGGGCAAGTGCAGCCACTGTGGACGCAAGTTTCTCTTGCTCAGGCTGGAGAGACACTCCAACATCTGCAGCAGGATGCAGGGTTCCAAGAGGAAAGTGTTTGACTCTTCCAGGGCCCGGGCTAAAGGCACAGAACTAGAGCGGTACTTGAACTGGAAGGGGCCAGCTTCAGTCAAGGTAACAAAAGCCTTATTGGATTTGACTTTGTGTGGGGAATCATTGGAAGGGTCTGTTATGTCCTCACCAGTTTTCTTTAGGGAAAATTCATGTGTCACGTAGGAAGAAAATGAAAATGAACATTTCTTGATTACTACTGTGTGCCATTCACTGTGATGGGAGCTTTTCGTGTGATCCTCACCACTCTGAGGATTTCATTATCTCTCATTTTATCAATTAAAAAATCAAAGCTCAGATAGGTTAAGTAACTCGCTTGAGTTCCCAAACAACTTTAAGCAGCAGGGTCACCATATAAATCTTGGTTGGAATGACTCCAAAATCTAGATTTAAAATACGTGTCCTTTTGATTATAAAAGTAATACACGTTTACTGTGGAAAATTTAAGAGACAATCTAAAGAAAAAAATTATGCAGCCTTTCGTCATCTGGAGTAAACTCCTTGCTCTTTGCAACATACTCTGCCACCTCCCAAGTTAGGATCTGTTATCACTCCTTTATCTGTATCTGCCTTTTGAGGATTAGCTCAGTTTTGATATCCTTCTTAGTAAATATTAATACATGAAACACAACTAAGTTTGGAATTCTTTTTCTGCCCATTTAGAGTGTAAACACCTTGAAAGTAAAGGACTTTCTTTTTTGGCTATCTCTCAAAACATTCTTCCCTTCAGAAAAACATGGTTGTAAGAAGTAAGGATTTTAAGACACTTACGTGATAAGTTTACTTCATAGGCACATTTGGACAGATCTGGAGAAGACTGTCTCAGAAATAGTCTGTCAAGGTTATGCCACTTGGTTTGTAAAATGGGTGTTTCTCAAAGTGTGGCATGCTGACAAACATTTTTTTTTTTTTTTTTTTTGGAGACAGAGTCTCACTATGTTGCCCAGGCTAGAGTGCCGTGGCATCATCCTAGCTCACAGCAACCTCAAACTCCTGGGCTCAAGCGATCCTACTGCCTCAGCCTCCTGAGTAGCTGGGACTACAGGCATGCACCACCATGCCCGGCTAATTTTTTCTATATATTTTTAGTTGTCCAATTAATTTCTTTCTATTTTTAGTAGAGACGGAGTCTCGCTCTTGCTCAGGCTGGTTTCGAACTCTTGAGCTCAAACAATCCGCCCACCTCGGCCTCCCAGAGAGCTAGGATTACAGGCGTGAGCCACCGCGCCCGGCCCTGACAAACATTTTTTATTTTAGTATTTTTGGACTGTATTAGAAAAATATAACAATATATTAAGCCCTTGATTTCCAGGGATCATGAATTTAAAGAAAAATGTTAAGCAATTAATAGTAAAGGGGATAAAGTGAAAGTGATATGCAAATGATCAACGTTTGGGAAAGCCAAACTTTAAGATCATAGACCATAGGATCTCAAAGGCCCCCAGCTAGCTCTAATATTCTAGAAAAATAAGAGAGCAGCATTCTGTTTTCATTTCTTTCCAGCCCTTCCTCTGCTGTCCTGGCACCTCTTGTCCATCAGGACTTCACAGTTTATGTGCGTCTTTGCTGGGACCTTAAAAACTCGCATTTATGTGATGGCTGTTAGAAGTTGTTTACGATTAGAGTTCTTTCTTTCAGTACAATTTGGGAGATCACCACAAGAACATTTCTTCTGTGTTGAGAGACAATCTCCCTGAAATCTAGTTTCCAAAAAGAAGTCAACATTTTGCTCTTGCAGATAATGATATGATGGCCAGTTACTGTTCTTTCCTGTTCTCTTTCTGGTCTACCCAATAATCCACTGGGGAGTCACTCTGTCCCACTATAGTGATTTATTTTTGGCCAGAACCTAAGAGAATCATGTGTTTCTTAAATTCCTAAGTTCAGTAGCTGCGAAGCAAAAGAATTGGATTTCTGAGATCAGATGCCCTGGCTTTGTGGAAACTAGTTCGGGGAAATGTGTGGCTTTGAGGACACCAAGGCAGAAGGGACCTAGATTGAGATGCACCCTCCTTCTGGGAATGTCTCAAGTTTTTTCACTGCTCTGTGCCTTTGAAAGCTGAGTGGTTGTATCTTCCTGTCATTCCTCTGGTGTACTCACAAGAATAGGTGATTTTTCTGGTATCTTTTCATCTTTACATAACTTCCAGCAGACTTACACCTCTTGTCTCTTTACTGGACATTCAAGGATAGGAACTCATCTGTGTGCTTTGTGCTTAGTGTTAGTTGAATAAAATTTCAATATAATGAAGAATTAAAGTGTAGGTATCATACACTTGAGGAACTTTCCCTTAGTTGAATTCTTTTAAATTCTGGAGACCACCTCTAACAATGACTCTTGCCTCCTTGCCTGTTTCAGTAAGAGTCTCTGCTGATGGATCCTTCCTTTTCCTTTGATAGTATCTCTTCCTATTATTCATCATCAGTGATGTCAGATTACCAAGACCTGTTTTTCTTCTTTTCAAAATTTATTTTAATTTAAATAGCATTTGCATGCATTTGAAAAAAGCACGTTGTACCAAGTGACCTGTAATGCAGATCGGCAGGATCCTGCCTTATCCCTCTCCATCCCCGAATCCAGTCCCCAGAGGCAGCCTTCAGTTCTGTTAGATGATTCTTCTGGTATGCATTCCCATATTTCCAAATGATATGTTTATTTTCTTGATTTATGAATTTTCCACATTATCTGGTGACTTCAGTGAAAATCTCTTCCATAGCCTCTCTCCCCTACTTTTTTCCTTCCCTTATCTTTCCACTGTAGTTGAATCAAAATTTTAGGTTAAATCAGGAGTCAGCTTTTACATTATAATGACCATGCAAATTTTGTTCACTCATGAGTAAATACTTTCTGCCCATGCCTGCACGTACCTGGAGTTTAATCATTGACTTCTGTTTTCATTTCCTTCATTTTCCACATACCTGTCTCTAATTTTCTTCCCCTAAATGATCCATCTGATGTCAGATATCTGTTAATGTTTTTTGTGAATGCTCAGACACCTGCCATAATCTATCAGTTTGATTTTTGAATTCTGGAAACCTCCCTTTCATCACTCTTTTCCCTCCTCCTCCAGGCCGGACTGGTTATTCTCTGGGCCTGATGAAGACCTGTTGTCCTGGGACTTCTCTTTCCTTCTCTTCTGTGTTGGGTCCCCTGTTTCCAGCATCTTGTGTTTTCTTTTTTCTTGCATTACTCCTTGCTTTGCTGAAGGTTACTAAGAAAGGTACGCAGCAGGTATATTTTTTGTCTTGGAATGAATGAAAATATCTATATAATAGCCTCCTATTTGGTGATTGTAGGTGGAAGATAATTTTGATAGAACTTTTAAGGCATTTTCCTCTAGCTTTTAGCATCCAGTGTTACTGTTGAGAAATCTAATGTCATTTTGATCCCTGTTCACAATATGAAACCTGTTTTTTTTCTTTTTCTAAAAGCTTATGGAATTCTCTATTCTAAAATTCTGAAATTTTATAGTGATTGCGCTGGATATTTGGTAAGCCATTTCGGTCTCAAGACGTGTGACCTTTAATTCTAGGAATGTTAATTGTATTATTTATTTAATAATTTTCTCATCATGTTTTCTATTCTTTTTGGAACTCCTATTGGTCACATGTTGGACTTCCTGGATTGACTTTCTAATTTTTTAATCTTTTCTACTTTCCATCTTGATCTTTTTTTCCCATTCTGAGAAATTTCCTTGACATTATTTTACAACATTTCTATTTAATCTTTTTTTATTTTTGAGACAGAGTCTCATTCTGTTGCCCTGGGCTAGAGTGCCGTGGCGTCAGCCTAGCTCACAGCAACCTCAAACTCCTGGGCTCAAGCGATCCTCCTGCCTCAGCCTCCCAAGTAGCTGGGACTATAGGCATGTGCCACCATGCCTGGCTAATTTTTTCTATATTTTTTAGCTGTCCAATTAATTTCTTTCTATTTTTTGGTAGAGACAGGGTCTCACTGTTGCTCGGGCTGGTCTCAAACTCCTGAGCTCAAACGATCCACCTGCCTCGGCCTCCCAGAGTGCTAGGATTACAGGCGTGAGCCACCGCCCCCGGCCTCTATTTAATTTTAATTTTTAGCTTTCAAAGTTTTAATTTATAATCGTTCTTTCTGGTTGTCTGGTTGTTCCTTTTTCATGGTATGCTCTTCTTATTTTATGGACACAATCTTTTCTAATAGTCATTTTGTTGATATTGTGGTTTTTCTGTATTAAAAAGTTTTCTTCTGCTACCTGCCTTGTTGCTGCTTCCTGAGTTTTTGTTTGTGGACTTTTTTGGGTCTTTTTCTTGTTAGTGCTTTCATCAAATACCTTGTGGCCCTTGTCTGTCCATGCACAGTTAAGCTTAAATGGGGCTTGTTGACTAAGGGACTTCATATTAAGGCTATCAAATAGCCTTTTAGTTAGGGTCCCTCAAGGTCAGTGTCTGAAGGCTTTTCTCTGGACTGCTCAGTGCATCTAGGAACCTTCTCTTTCCTTCGAGGATGTCAATGTGCTTGGTACTCTGGGGGCTGAGGGGGAAGGAGGCTAACAGTTTTATAATTTGGTTTGTACACTTGGATTTAATCCCCATTTTGAGCCCCAAGATTACCCCAGTTCTCTCCCAGTTCTGGAGTTCCTGAGTCTGAAACCTGTCTGGTTCAATTTCTCCAGAGAATAAACCCCTATTCTCCTGTGAGGGTGCCGGGGGTGTCGGACACTTGGATGTGAAGGTGTTAGAGGAGCTGTGGGGTCTAGCTTGTTTTCAGCCCTGAAACTACCCCCTTTCCAATGCCTAGCTTATTTTCTTGATTTATCAGTTTCCCACATTATCTGGTGACTTCCTTTTATGGAAGCTGTGGGTGAAAAGCTCTGTCATATCCCCCTTCAGCTTTTCTGAGCACTGAGCCTCTCAGGGTTGCAATGGGAAAATGGCTTGCCTCGCAGTAGTAGCCCCCTTTGCAGGCCAGTCACTCATCGCTGTTGCTCCTTTCCTGTTCTTTGACCTTGTGGATTAACACCCTTTCTATTTCTTTACTGTCATTCTAATGGAGACTTCAGAAGGAGATGAGATAAATGCCAAGTTGAATGATCAATCTCCCTTTTATATTACAGGCTGAACCTCCTCAGAAGAGCAACTGGAGGCAGAAGCATGAATCTTTTATCCGTACCCTCCGCCAGGCTCGAGAGGTCCAGCAGGTAATTGCCAAAGGTGGAAACCCCTCAGACTTGCCTCCCATCCTGCCTGCAGAAAATCCAGACTATATTCAGTGTCCTCACTGTAGCCGCCACTTTGCTCCCAAGGTGGCTGAGCGACACATTCCCAAGTGTAAGACCATCAAGAACCGTCCTCCACCTCCAAGGAAGCATTATAGTTGAGCAGACGACAACAGTGGAAACCTGCCCGGATAGTTCAGGCTCTGCTGCTTCTCTTCAGCGGTAAATGGGAGTAGAACTTGATGCAGAGCAGAAAGAAGAAAAATTTTAACATCCCTCAGATCTGCCTGCAGAGCCGAAATCAGTGAGAAGAAAGCCACTGCTAAGCAGCAGGAGGCAGAAGGAAGCCCCAGCTTCCCACTAAATTACAACCTCCGGCTGGTATGCCTTATGTTATTGCCCTCAGAATTGATGGGTGAAGACACTGAAGAGTACTGAGCAGGCTACATTAAAGCTCTTTTCTCTCAAGCCTGACTTGTGGGTTTTGCTAGTGAAGCGCTTGCATTTGGTTGTGCCTTCAGGCCACTGCATGTATGTTGGTGGTTCCTGTTAACTCTTCTTACTCTTGCATGAAGTTGGAGTTATTAGGATGAGTTGGTGTCAGAGGAACATGGTCACCCAGATGGTAACTCTTATAAAAGATAATAAGATTTCGCTGTAAGGCATTATTAATGGAAATCTACCCGTGGCCTCCCTGGTGCATGGTCCTGACCAAAAGCCAAAAAAAGTAGGTAAGGTTTAGGCACCAGTGCCTCCTAAACCTTCCCTATGGTGTACTGTGTAATAAAGGAAACATCTTTATGTACTTTACAGGGCAGGGAAGGGGGAAAGCACATTATACTTCTCTCTCTACTTGTTTTCTAATGGGTTTCACATGTTAAAGAAAGAAACCTCAGTTTCAGCCGTTGCTAGCACTCTGCTTTCAAATTAAGTTGGATGAATGATTTTTGAAATCAGGCAGCAAAATCTACCATGAAAGCAAGCTGGGACATTGCGAGTGTCACATGTTCCTGCCGATTATAGCACAGTCAATTTCTATTTGGGAAAGTAAACTTTGAAGGGAAAGGGACTGAATATTTTATATTTTCTCTGTGTAGAATAGTGCTCAGCACAACTTAGGCCCTCAATTAATGGGTTTTGGAGATTTAAAGTTAAATAAAAAGATGAGTGAGCCTTAGACTTGTGAAATGGGAAAACTAGTAAGTTAATGTCCGAGAGGCTAATATCAGTTCAGATAGGAATGAAGCTAGCACAACAGATCTGAAATCCCACTAAGATTACTGTCCTGAGAGCACGACTCATATTGTTAGTTTAAAATCCTGGAGAAAAACCACCCAGCTTTAGCTGGGCAAAGGAGACGGGGCAGACAACAAAACCATATTTTACTGAATAACAAATGGCCACTCACTCTTGTTCCAGTTCCTCTGCAGCTTCTGTTGGGTGGCTGGGCTAACAGATCAGACCAATTTGAAATGTGACTTTAAGGCTTTAGCAGTGAAGCTGCAGGACACTAGGCCGAAAAAAATTATTTAAAGAGGAGCATATGTTGAATTGCTTTGCACTTTTTTTTTAAATTGTTCCAAAGGAAAAGAGGTAGCACATAATGGGGCCTTTGGTTAGCCCTTTAAGAAAACCTCACATAGAGACACTGGACATTTAACCCAATGTGTGCATCCTCCAGCCAAGTTTAATGAAGTACAAACTTTAAGTTTCACACTTGATGTTACAAGCAATATATGGCAAGAGTAAGCTGTGGCCAAGGTCACAAAGTGGTAGCCTGTGGACTGCTTTGCCACACAGATGTTTTACTGGGCTGGCACAGCATTAAATAGGTGATCTGACACTTCAAAATTGGTATGTGGAACAACTCTTGAAAAACTGGAAGTTCTGGAAACACTGGGTCAGCAACTTGCACAGCACAAATTGGGTGGGGCTCAGAATCAGTTGCTTTCAGATTGGGACGGCAGCACCACCTGGCCTGCTGCCCCTACCTACCTGGCCCCCAGGCACTGAGGTTTGGGATCCCTGGATGATGTTATTAAGGTCACAGACCCGGGTCCTCCACAGAGAACAAATGTGTGAGGGGGCAGTCCTTTCTATAGACACAAGGAAGCAGTTACTCATTCTTTTGTTACTAAAGAAATAAAATAGTCAGTGCCTTAGTGTTCCCTTTGGTCTCTATGTGTTCAGGCCTTGATTATACTAGGAATATCTATTAGTTTTTTAAATTTAGCTTGATCTGATCTTTGGGAAGAGGTAAGAACCTTTTTCTGTCTCTTCCTGGATAGCTCAGAGGATGATAGTGGATAAATAAATGCTGCTTGTTAATGTATTTTATATTACTGTATGCAAGAACCTTTAGTGCAAGTAAATGTTATAAATTTTAAAGTTCAGAAGGTTAAGCCATGGGAAAAATTTCCTTGTGAAACTCACATGGAAACCCATTTCATTAAAAAATGTATGTAGACGTGCTGAGACAATATTTCTTAACAGCAATGTATTTACTTCACAGCACCTTCTGGCCAACATTTGCTTTCAGTCATCAATTTATCACTCTTCACAACTACACAGGAGGTAGCAGAGATGTGACATAGTGGAGTTTTTCTCCCTAATGTTCATGATTTTGTGAGATTTAATGACCAGCACATTTATCTCCACAGTTAATCATTGAAGCAATAAATGATTTTTGGCTTTGCAGCGGGAAGGAACATGCTTTATAGTCCTGACTACAGCCCCCTCTGCCCTGACACTATCATGAGTAATACTTCTTTGGAGGCCCAGGGATCTCATTTGAATGAATTTATTTAAAGTACATTCTTGCTCCTCAGTTGTTCTTTCTATTATGATTGTGAATATACAGCAAACCAAATGAAACTTGAGTTTTACTCTGCTTTGACTTTAACCTTTAGTGAAATGTGAAGCCAAGAGAAGTTATAACTTGGCTGTGCTATTAGACCAAATACAGTTCACCATCTTTGAGGGAAAAGTTTAAAAACATAAACTGGCTTAATCACTTGGAAAAGCCCCCCGCTGAGACCGAGGAGGTAAGTACAAGAAGGGATCCTTCTTTTAATGGCTCATTTTTTTCTCCTCCTGTACTTTCAGCGCTGTCTTTTAGACATTTTGGGGGAAAAAAAGGACATGATTCTGCTGGCAAGAATAAAAAGCTGGAAAGAAGCAAAGATTATTTCTGTGCAAATGTCCCTTGTGTTGTTTCTGTTCCAAGAACATTTATTTATTTACATAAAGACTAACTGAATCAAAGGTTCATGAAAGCCTAGAATCTGGGTGTTTTAACCCCAGTGACTAAGGTCTGTGTGCAGGCTTACTGAGGCACAGCATTGATTGAGAGTTTAAATGTTTATTTAAAACAGAAATGCCAAACCATTCCACCCTCAACCTTTCAAGCATATGGCTAACAATAAGCTAGTTCTTCCACAACAATGTCAGAGCAGAGGATTAACTCAGGTTATACTATAACTCAAAAGCGATACTACTGGAAAACTTAAAACGCCTAGCACTGCATAAAGAAGAAAAGCATGACAAAATCTAAAGAGAGTTAGCTACAGAAAACCATTCAAAGGCATTACTACTGCCTCACCTTTCACTTTATACACCTTTGAACTGGTTTCTGGATGCATAGTTGTTTGGTGGGAAAAAATCATATGGCTGTCCCAGGCACAATTTGGGAAAGTGCAAATTGTCTCTAAGGCACAGAACTTAGATTCTCAGCTAGATTAACAGCAAATCTAGACTTTCCAAGGTGACATGCTAGAGAAAATGACCACAGTGTTCCACTGCTAGGGAATGACCCCACTCTGAACAAGAAAAGGGCTCTCACCTGCCTTCAGCACTCACTTTCACCCCACAGTCTCAGCAACGTGCCCATGTCCCTCAGCTTCACACCGGAAGCAATCCTCATGATGCTCACCAAAACTGACCCTGCCTCTCAGGCCTGCTGAGATGGTGAGCATGAGGACATAGAGACATGGTAGGCCAGTCAGTCCTTAAGAAAATCAAAGTTGCATTTACATGATGAACCAAAACCCACTGTTAGGGTTTACAGCAACCCCCAAGTCCCCAGAACTTGTAACTTTAATCCAACATTGGCCCTTCCCTTATTTCAAGAAAAGGCTTCAGTGATTACATTAGTACTAATGTACTAGGCTTCCCAGAATTGAGAAAACAATGGGAACATCCAACCAAAGAAGATCCCATTGAACAGAGTTGCCCATACCCAGCCATGGGGTTTCCCAGAGCATCAGCCTTTACACCACCAGATTTAGGGAAATGGCAAAATTTCCATTGCACAGGACCTTCCACAATATTAAATAGATATCAAACATATTTTGGTTTGGGGAAAATGAAACAAAATTTAGCTGTTTGTAGGGAGGTAGGATGTGAGACTCATCAAAGCAGCTCTTATGACTCAAAGTACTAAAGGAACATTTCCTAAGGCTAGGTGGAAACACAAAGCTCACATCCTTAAGTGAAACCATCAAATGCCTGCCTAGAACGTTCTATGTGAAGTTTTGTTCTTCTAGGATACTCCTTCTCCTTGGGAAAGCTAGCTTGCTCTTGTCTACAAGGACACAATGAATATGGGATTAGCAGTGAGCTTTCAGCCAAATTCCTCCCACTCAGCAGGTTCTACCTGTTCTGTTAGGCTTCAGGGACTCCCAGGGTTTGGTGCTGGCTTTGGGCCACTCAAGTAGGAAAGATGATACAGATTCACTGGTTATGATATGGCTTCATAAACACCAAAAGGGGAAAAATACTGACTAGACATATAGAAAGGGAGTGTTTGGGGCTGCTGCTGTCAAGCTTAGAACCTTAAGAGCCATGAAGGTAGAGGCATAAGCCTTCTCCTGGGCAGAAGACCGAGTCCCTCTCAGCCCTCTTTAAGATACCAGGTAGAGGCAGCTAAAGGAGGACCTCCATTCCCTCATGACTTTCTCTTAAGGCCATTCCTACTGCCCCACTGACACAATTCTCTGAGACACCTCATCCCTCGGAGGTATCTTCCAAAGCTAGGAAATCCCACCCTGCATCGGCCACATCCTGAAACTCCAGCAGTGTGATGCGGAGGGACCTGCCCTTTCTCTACTCCTCACTGAAGAAATTTCAATCAACCTCAGAGGAAAAGCAATCTAAGCCCACTTTTCCTCCTAAAGCATTTAGCTGCATGAAGTAACTGAACTTTCTGGAAACAAGCCCTAGATTGTTTTCCCCAGACATACTGTCCCGGACTTAGGGCTCCTGAGAGGGCTCAGAATGCTTCACCGCTCTCCAGAGGACACTGGACGGGCCACGCCTGCTTCCAGCCCATTCCAGCTTTACGCTTTTCCCTCCCCCACCCAGAGGTGCAATGCCTGGTGTTTAATTTCCAAGGCAGCTTCCAATCAATGGTGAAAATGATATATGGGCTATAAGCTGCTACCAGCGCAATTAAGGTGAGCACTGTGTCTCCTCTTCAAAGGTGGGACCAACAGATGAGGTACAGAGCTGCAGTTGCTATGGCAGTCACTGATGACAAAGCCAGGACCCTGGGGCCCTTCCATTCTTCAAAACAATAAAATCACTTCTAGATCCTATCTAAAAGGCAATGCCACTCTCCAAACGTACAAGGAAAGTGCTTCAGAGCCTCCGCCTTGCGCTCCTTGTCTGCAAGTGAACAAAGCCAGGAAAGCTGCTCTCTGCATTTGGTAAGTGTGCTGTGAAGTTCTTTGGATCCCAGTTTCCTGGGGCTATATAGGCTCAGGAGACTAGAGGCTGGGTCGACAGGAGTCTGTTCCCAGGAGGCACCAGGAATCTGAATCTAAGTCAGGCTTTGGATCCATTTCCATCTCTTCCTTTGCTGTCTGAGTTCCTTTGGAATGCATCCCCACCTGTCCAGATAAAACACAGTTCCACATTAGCAACAGTGCCACCTAGCCACAGCAGTTCAGGACTACGTTTTCAAGGTCAATCTCTAAGGATTTGTAGCCACAGTCCTATGAGAAGCTCAAAGTACTATTTTACATAAAGTCCACACCCTCGCATTTGCTGCAGGTAAGATGATCAACTCTCCTGGTTTGTTCTGGACTGCAGGGTTTTTTGGCATACAGAATTCTCAGTTTTAAAACTGGAACAGTCCTGGACAAAACTGCTAATCTTACCTCAAGTGTGTATATTACTTACTAAAGTAATTTCATAGACATTGTTTCTTTTGATCCTCAAAAGAACCATATGAGGTAGGTGGTATTATTTTCTTCTTTTACATGAGAAAGCAGGGCTCAGAGAAACAAAGTAATTAGCCCAAACACATACAGCCGGTAAATGGCAAAGCCAAGGGCTGAACCCTATTTCCCTGTTCCTCATTCACTCTATGTAGAACAATACTATGGCTCTTTTTTTTTTTTTTTTTTGAGACAGAGTCTTGCTGTGTTGCCTGGGCTAGAGTGCCGTGGCGTCAGCCTAGCTCACAGCAACCTCAAACTCCTGGGCTTAAGCAATCCAGCTGGGACTACAGGCATGCGCCACCATGCCCAGCTAATTTTTTCTATATATTTTTAGTTGTCCGATTAATTTCTTTCTATTTTTAGTAGAGACGGGGTCTCGCTCTTGCTCAGGCTGATTTCGAACTCCTGAGCTCAAACAATCCACCCACTATGGCTCTTTAAAAGTAACACAAGCAACATCACCTGGGAAATATTTTTACTAAGAATGTTTAACCTGAATCTAATCAAGCCAGAAGTCAAACTTCTGGTTTTCAGAAAAGACAGGGTGACAGAAGAACAAGTTAGACAATACCCCAAGAAAACAAGACAAATCCAGAATGTGGGATATTCTGTTAAATAACTGGCCTGGTATCTTCAACAAGTCAATGTCATGAAAATATTTTTAAAAAGGGTGATGGTGGTGGAGGGAATTGTTCTAGGTTAAAAGAAACAAGAGACATAATCAAATGGAATGTGGGGTTCTTAGATTTTGGCCTGATAAAAAAAAGTGATAAAGGACATTTCTGTGGAGAAAACTGGAATATCAACTGGATACTGGATGTGAACTGAGAATATTAGTGTTAATTTCGTAAGGTGTGGTAATAGTATTATGGTTGTTCAGGAGAATGAATGCCTTTATTTTTAGAGATATGTAATTGGGTATTATGATTTTTATAATTTACTTTAAAATGGTTCAGCAAAATAAGTAAAGCATATATTTATAAGTTGAAACAAATACAGCAACATGTTAACAACCGTTGAAGATAGATAGTGGATATATGGTTGTTCATTACTGTAATGTTTAAAGTTTTTCATAATAAAAAGAAAAAACAAACAGTAACAAAAAACAATGGAAGTTAGGTGATGAAAATGATTCAATCCAGGTAACTGAACAAGACCCAAGGCTTCTGGGGTTAATTACAAAAGTGACACCATGAAAAAGTGAGGACTTGCAAAGGAACAAATCTATTTGAGCACTTGGTGTTTTGTTTCTGTGATTCTTCAAACAGACTTAGACATTGGATAATTCTCGTAATGCTCTCACCTGTTGCCCTCCTTCTAATTTCTTATTCAGCTTCTGTAGTTGGGTAAAAATCTGGAGGTTTTCTTGCTGTAGCTTCTGTTGTTCAGACAGACACTTTAACACCAGACCTTGCAATCTCTCAACCTCCACCTGCAGGGAGCTGCATGCACAGGCAGGAGTCATCAATGGGGTACCCTTCCCAGCACATGTTACTGCAGGATTCAGCTGAAGAGGCTAGAGAGACAAGGAGAGATTGTAGGAGGTTCTGCCCAGGTGCCACAGCTCCCCAATCCAAACTTCCTCTAGGTGCAATCAGATTTTACTTTTAAATTACAAGATAAAACATATATACATATGAATATATGCAAGAGAAATAGAAAAATACTGGGATTACAATAGCACCTGGCACTGACATAACAGGGCAAGGGAACCCTCGAATGCCTCAGTCCCCATAGGCTAAGGTAGAAGACCAATTGTCTATTTTGGAGGACGTTGAGAAAAATTTTAAAGTGTTTGGATATCTTCTCATTTAAAATGCTGAAGTGGGAGCTGGGCATGGTGGCATGTGCCTGTAGTCCTAACTACTGGGGAGGCTGAGATGGAAGGATCGCTTGACCCTGGAGTTTGAGGCTGCAGTGAGCTCTGACTGTGCCACTACACTCCAGCTTGGGTGACAGTGAGACCCTATCTCAAAAACAAACAAAATTGGCCAGGCATGGTGGCTAATGCCTGTAATCCCAGCATTTTGGAAGGCTGAGGTGGGAGGATCACTTTAGGCCAGAAGTTTTAGACCAGCTTGAGCCACATAGCCCCTGTCTCTACAAAAAAACAAAATAAATAAAAATAAATAAATAAAATAAAATAAAATAAAATGCTGAAGTGGGGAAAAGCATGATTTGGTTTGGAACAAGTCCTTCAGACCACAGTGAGGATGTAGTGATATGCAGTGGATATATATAGTGGATCACACTTTAGAAAAGATTAGGGAGATGTGTAGTCAACAGGACCACCGACACAATCCGAGAAGGCTAATTGACAGAGGAATTAAAACATTCACCTTAAAGTTTAAAAGGTTTTATTACCTCTTCTGGGGAGCTTTTCAATTATCCCAATCTGGACTTTTCTTCCTTCTACTGTACTTTGTTTATAGCAAGGGCCAGCAAATGACAGCCCATGGGCCAATTCTGACCTACTGTTTGTTTTTGTAAATAAAGTTTTATTGGAACACAGGCATGCTCATTCACTATGTATTATTTGAGGCTGCTTTTGTGCTACAACGTCGGAGTTAAATAGTTGTAAAAGGGACTGTATGGCTCAAAAAGTTTAAAATAAATACTATGTGGACCTTTATAGAAAAAGTTTGATGACATTGGTTTATAGTTTTATTGAGATATTCACAACAATTTCATTTCCACCACGGTTAGGTGTATATTAAGTTTGCTTCCTAATAAACTACAAGCCACATATTTCTTATATTTATAGTTACCCACCCTAGCAGTGTCATGAAAAACTGAATTTGAATTTTGGAATTTCAATTTTGGTACTTCTGAAGCAGAGAGAAAAAGACAATCCTCTGGTGTAGAAAAGTGTTAGCCTATTAGAAATGTGAAAGGGTAAATACCTAATAGATAGCATGATGAGTTAATGCAGGGCAGCTGGAAGACCAAAAGCTAGAGGAAGAGGCAGTGAGGCCAGGAGAACTGGGTAGAGCTCACAATTACTGTTTACACCTAGTCATGATTCGAAGGCAAAAAGCTCAGTTACCCAGGCTCCCACTGGGGGCTTGTGTTCCGAAGGAGCTTCAGAGGCCACTTTGAGTCCTTGCAGCTCTTCATAAGGCAGGGTATCTTTCTCAGATTCTGAAAATGCTCCACTTAAGGGAGATGGGCTGTCAGGCATGGGGATGAATTCTGCATTTTCCAGCTCCTATGTATATGAGAAAGAACCTTATGAGTTCTGTTTGCAGTAATTTGCTTTCTCCCAAATTCTCTTTTCTCTTTTCCTATAGTTTCCACTGTCATAACATCAGCACCCTCTAGTGGGGCAGAACAGTTGTTGTGGTGATTAACACCACATCTCACCCTACCTGTGAGCAAACTGCCATCCCTTCATCAGAGAAGTAACAATGATGCAAATGCAACTTAAATTCAAGGACAGTCTGGAGAGTCTGGTGTGTTTCTCCAAAACATTTATTCTACACAGGCTATTCAGTGAATTGGGAAGCTCTAAGGTAATGGTAGTGAGTATGGCTGCCAGGCTGCTTAAGGCTGAGGCTGAAGGTGCATCTAGAAGAGTACACTGCTTCTTTTGTTCAGACTCCTCAAACAACTATCAAGTTTAGTCTTATTTGATAGATTTTTTTGGGGGGAGGGGGTAAAAATTTTAAATTTCACAAACTGTAAATGTTCACTGTAGAAAATGAGAAAATACAGATGGGAAAAGGAAGCTAATAAAAACCGCCAGCAATCCCATCACTCAAAGATAATCACTGTTTAAACCGTCAATATATAGTTCTGTTGACATACTTTTGTGCATTATATATTTTCTAAAAGAATGACATCATACTAACATGTATTTTATCCTCTTCTGCACAGTCAAATGTTGTAACCAATTTTCCTTGAAAATAAATATACTTCAACGAAATTCAACTTTCATAAACCATTTTCCGATTGTAAGGCATTCCAATTGCGCCAATATTCCATTTCTATAAATGACAGCACAAAATCTATAAGCCTAATCTTTGCATACATGCACTACAAAAACTGCCTTCAAGGCAGATTATATTAATTTACATTCACTTAACTAATACAGGTAGGAGAACATTTTGTATCTCTTCTTGTTGGAAAGAAAAAAGGATTAATGATTTGGTGATTTCTTTCTAGGTAGAAATCAGAAACCTAGATTCCTGCTGCAAAACAGTTCATAGGACATGGAAAACTGAGAGATCATGACAGCTCCTTTCCAGTCCTTGCTAAGGGCCTGATATTTCATCGGAGGTACCTCTTCCAAAGGAATTACCTTTCGAAGCCAGCCAGGACAGGAGCTGCTGGCCCCACTACTGTTCCCCATGGCCTCCGTGGGACTGATTAAACCTTCCATTCCTCGGTCTGCTTCCATTGTTCCTCGGAAGCCTCCACTTGGATCAGGAGTTTCAGATTCCTGCTGACTGTCCTCCTCTTCACCACCACCACCTCCAGGGCTAGAGCTCTGAACCACTGACAGATACACAGCACAGAAGTAGAGAGCTTTGCTATGCAGCAAGAAAGGTTTACCATCTGACAGTCCCACTTACCCTGGAAAGCTTCCTAGAATTGCATGAAATGGAACTGCAACAGTGCAAGTCAGATACTGGGGACTAAATTTTTATTTCTTTTTTCTTTTTTTTTTTTTTTTTGAGACAGAGTCTTGCTGTGTTGCCTGGGCTAGAGTGCCGTGGCGTCAGCCTAGCTCACAGCAACCTCAAACTCCTGGGCTCAAGCAATCCTCTTGCCTCACCCTCCCAAGTAGCTGGGACTACAGGCATGCATCACCATGCCTGGCTAATTTTTTCTATATATATTTTTAGTTGTCCGATTAATTTCTTTCTATTTTTAGTAGAGACGGGGTCTCGCTCTTGCTCAGGCTGGTCTCAAACTCCTGACCTCAAACAATCCACCCGCCTCAGCCTCCCAGAGTGCTAGGATTACAGGCGTGAGCCACCCTGCCCGGCCTAAATTTTTATTTCTTACACAAAGTATTTGGGTATCAGGATGTTCATAATGATGATTTACTTCCATTTTCCAAACTTGCTTACCCTATATCCATAGCAGATTATCAATATTCTAGAGCACTACTGAACAATCCCCCCAACCACACAGCTCATCGAATCTAGCACCCATGCTTACTCTGCTTCTTTAACATATAACATTCAAATTCTAACATACCCCATAGACATTCATTTTATATAAAAAGGTCTTTAACATTTGAGCCAAACGCCAATTAAAGTTGACAGATAAACTCACTACTAACTCCCTGTCTGGGGGAAAACATGAATGGTAAATTCTTCAACATTTAATGTGAGCATTAAATTTTAAAAATATAATAGCTGGTTCTTTTATATCATGCAGCATATTCCAAATTACTTTAATGAAGATTACCTGATATGTGGTCAGGAAACAAAATTGAACTTTAATATGGAACAAAGAAAAATATAATTAAGAAAATAAATTTGCCAAAACTAAAATAAAATTGCATGGTATATTCTAAGGTTAAATGTAAAAAAGTGTGTATTACCATCCGCCATGCTGGCCTGATTGGGCCACCCTGTGACCCTACTGAAGTAGCAGAACTAAAGTTACCAAAATTAGCTCTGAAACTTGGTTTTGTTTTAAATGGCTTTTAAAAATTATGTTACATTTGAGATATACATAAGGCTATTTTTAACCTATGTGTAAGTTTTGATGCCTAACAATAAAACAAACATACATGAATCTGTCACTAGAACTAGAATTACACCATCAAATACGATAGTGACTAGCCATGTGTACCCATTTATGTGTAAACAGAATTAAACGTTCCTCAGTCACACAAGCCACTTTTCAAGTGCTCAATGGCCACATGAAGTGAGTGGTTACTATACTGAACAGCACAGATATAGAACATTCTATTGTCACAGAAAGATCTATTGGACGGTGATGAACTAGAGCATTACCTGGATCACTGTACCTGCCTTGTAAATTCCTTTCTTCTCTGGCCTCCTACCCAGAATAAAGCCATTCTGATTAATTCTGTATTTATCACTTCTTCCTAAAAAACCTTATCACCTATTGATGTACCCTTAAATGACACATTATTATTTATTTTGTTTGTTTTTAAACTTTATAAAAAGGCATGTAGTCTGCTGCCACTTGCTTTTTACATTTCACATTATGGAAGTATTAGGAGATGCTGTTCGTTTTCACTCCTGTTTAATAGTCCAATTGATGGTTATAACATATTCAATCAACAAATATTTATCGAGCATTTACCAGGCCCTGTTCTAGGCAGTGTGGATAAAATTTATGAATAAAAATGACAAAAATCTCTGCCCTTATACTCTTGTTTACATTTTCTGGCCAATGGACATATGCTTTTAATCTTATGTTTTTCCTTTAAACACTTTTCCAGCAAAACAAAGTTGTAATAGAACAGCTGTGCTTAGCAGAAAAGATATTCAGTCATTGTGATATGCACAAATAGAGATGCTGAGCAATGGATTACTTAAGGAAACCAATAAAAGGTATAAGTGTATGTGTAAACTAAAATTCAACAAGTCTAGATCATATTTCTAACTGCTTAATTTTGGGAAATTAATATGCTTATTTATTTGCTTTTTAGAAATGGTGTCTTGCTAACGTTGCCCAGGCTGCTATGCACTGACTACTCACAGGAGCGATCACAGGAGCGATCATAGCGCATAACAGCCTTGAACTCCTGACCTCCAGTGATCCTCCCATCTCAGCCTCCCGAGTAGCTGGGACTATAGGTGCACGCCACTGTGTCCAGCTTTAATTTGCTTTCATTTTGGGTGTTTATGTGTTTTGATTCTACAAAATATCAGAATCTAAGTTCTGAGACATCAAAGACTATAGAAATTCTAGCAGGTGGAAAACCAAAGAGGTACATAGATTCAATCTCCTGGCATAGTCCCAAATAACAGAGAACCATAAAGAAAGTAGTCAAGGAAAAACTATCAGAGAGCTTTGGGATGGTTTTCCTAACCATGTTGAAAGTTTAGCCAACTTTTATTTCTGAGGACCTGTTTTAAAGGACTATTTCTATAGACTGGAGTACCCCTGGGAAAACCATGGAAATAAAGGGCAAAGAGGACCTAGAGCTCCTAGGGCAGTAAGAGAAGGAATAATACATAAGTCGCATTACAGTGTTGGGAAAGCCACTTAATCACTTCCATATGCGTTGTGGGCAAAGAAGATATACTCTCCCTCTGACCACAATGTAAAAGTCGTAACTTATTGTGAAACCCACCAAAATATGACCCTCCCTCTTAATCACCGTATACCTCATTTCCCAAAGAAATTCCTATTTTCCTTTCAGTTTTGGAGACTGCATGGAATCTAACCCAAAGATCCACACTTCAGAAAACCACTGGTACCTGACACATTGCTACTCACCTGTTCCAATGGATAAGCCACTGCTATTGGAACGGATGGTCTTAGAATTCAATACTTTCTCTGAGAAAAAATATTTGGTAGGTAAGCACTGTATACAGATATAGTCAACAAAACTGAAAGAAGACTAAGATAGAAAAATATTTGCTATCCCTGACTCCAAATAACTTTATAATTATTACTGTTTTAGAAATTAATACCATAAGCCAAGTACCACTTGCTATTCTAACTATATTCATTATTTAAAATAGCAATTCCCTACTTTGGCTCTTCATTGGAATCACCTGGGAAGCCTTAGCATGTAACAATACCTACGTCCCACCCCAGAGATTTTGATTTAATTGGTCAGGGGTTGGGTCTGACAATGGGATTTTTAAAAGCTCCCCAGGGGATTCTAATGTGCCACCAAGGTTTCAAACCACTGATCTAGAACAATGCACTTGTAAATCCTTACACAGGCATTTAAAATTTAGTTCTTAAGAAAGTAATCTTTATGCAGAAAGCATTTACGATTTCGAGTTTCTTCTAAAAGATGTACCAAATGTTTCTCATGAAAGCATGGACACAGACAACAAATTATTAATTAGCGGATGATGACTAGAAGTAACAAAGAGAGGAGGTGGAACCCAAAATTACATTAAAAAATGATCAAGGGATGGTAGATGGCAAAGGTCCAGGAAATGACAGTGTTCTGTTCCTACCACACAAGCTATGGCATCCCTTACCATTATATAGGACTTACAGAAGTAGCCTCTTTTTTTCAGGATATTTCTGTGTCCAAGAATGTGACCAAGAGTACCTTAGAGATATGGGTCTACCCTCTGTCAAAGCCATCCCAACCCTACACATATGAAACTCTTACCAACAATGAGAATGGTATGCCAGCCACGGCAAGATAGGTCTGGGACGTGATGTAGAGATCCAAATATAGGCCGAGGCCATGAGGTACAGATATCAGAGCCATGTGGTCTCTCTGTGGGGGTCATTGCCAGGCGGCCATTACCACCATTGCCCCAGGCAAAAATGTGATTATCTAGAAAAAAAGTTAAACAGCAGGATCATTTAACAGAACAGTGGCTTCCCAATTCTTTGGGTGCCCCATCTTTATGCCCTAGAACTAGAAAGACTACGTACTATGTACACTATGTAGTAAACAAGGGAAAGCTGGTTGTTCCCCAGTATAAAGCTTAAACTCTTCCTGATCACACCCACATAAAAATGCCCACTGCTCCTACACACTGCCATTCACTCATTCATTCATTCACTCATTTGACAACATTTTATGGGTCAAACTTTTACTGGGCATCTACTTCATGACAGGCACTGTATGAGGTGATAGAGCAGTCAACAAAATTAAGTCCCTGCCCTTATGGAATTAATATTCTAGTGGGGGGAGACTGATAATACATAAATAAATAAACATCTAAAATTTTAGGTAGTGATAAGTGCTATAAAGGAAGATAAGTGGTGAAAAAATAAGTGGAAATAAAGAATAGTGGGGTGCAGTATCATCATTTTAGATAGGGTAGTTAGAAAAGTCCTTTTTGACATGTGAGCAGAGATCTGATTGAAGTGAGGGAGAGAATTTCCAGGCAGTAACAACAGTAAGTGCAAGGTCCTGCATAGGTAACGTTAGTAACACAAACAAGGAACAAGGAGGCCACTGCAGCTAGAGCTAAGCAAAGGAGGAGAAAATGGTAGCAGAAGAGGTCAGGAGGTGGCTGGGGTCCTGGTAATGTAGGGCCATTGTGAGGACTGTGGTTCTTACTGACTAATAGAGGGAACCATAGAGGTTTTGAGCAATAAGTATTTAAAAGGATCCCTCAGGCTACCATGAGGAGAACTGACTGCAGAAGTGCAAGGGTGGCACCAGGGAGACCAGCTGTAGTAGTGAAGATGGTGAGAAGTGGTTGGACATATTCTGAAGATAATCAATATGATTTGCTGATGGATGGGATGTGGCGTGTAGAATGGAGATGCCATTTACTGAGACAGGAAGGCTGCAGGAGGAACAGGTCTGGGCCAAAAATGAGAAGTTTGATTTTGAATATACTAAGTTTGAGATGCCTATAA